TAAACCCAAAAATCTTGGGTTCAATGGAACCCAGTGCATGGGTTCGAAGGAACCCAGGCCTAGGTTCCATCGAACCCAGGCGTGCTAGGTTCCAAGGAACCCAATTGCTGGGTTCCATTGAACCCAAGTGTGTTGGTTTCCACCAAACCCAGTGCATGGGTTCTAAGGAACCCATGCCTAGGTTCCATCGAACCCAGGTACGTTGGGTTCCACCGAACCCAACGCCTGGGTTCCAAGTAAGGATGACAATTTCCCTCGATCCCCGCGGGGCCCTGCGGGAATCCCTGTCACGGGGACGGAGCGGGGAGGAATATTCCTCCCCACGGGGCGAGGATGGGGAGCATTTTCCCCTGGCGAAATTTCGCGGGGAATTTTCCCCGCCTCATGGGGCCCCGCGGGGATCCCCATCCCTGCAAAAATTAAAATAAATATAAATTAATTTTATTTTAAATTTAATTCATCTTTCAAACTCAAACCTAAATTCAAACCCAAACACAAACCCAAACTCAAGTTCAAACTCAATTCAATTAAAATTAAACTTAATCCAATTTTACCTAACCTAACCCAACCCAACCCAACCCAACCCAATCCATAAAAATTAACCCAATTCATTCCCCTACTTACATTTAACCTTAACCCTAATTCATTTCTCAATTTTCATTTTCACCTTTCCCTCCATTGTTGGGTTAATTTTTGTTTATGTTTTAGTTTTGCTTGGATTAATCTTTGTTTATGTTTGGAACAAATTTGTTAATTGTTGGTTTAGTTATTTATGTTGAATTGATTTTTTTTATATTTGGACAATTTATATTTAAAAATTTTAGTTAATTGTATTTGAATTTTTAGAATTTTATTTATTATAATTGAATATTAATTAATTATATGTAAAAAACAAAAAAATTTATAATTTAATATTAATTGATGAGGAATGGGGACGGGGGGCAAAATCTGCCCCCCGTCAAAAATCCCCTCGGGGATCCCCGTCCCCGCCATTCGCGAGGACAGGGACGGGGACGGGGACGGGGACCGACTCCCCGACCCCGCAGGGCCTCGTTAACATCCCTAGTTCCAAGGGAAAAGATTTGAAGGGGAAATAAAAGGGGAAGGGGAAAGAGAAGGAAAAAGAAAAAAGAATTTACTTTTTAATTTTTTATTTAATTTTTTTATATTATTATTTTTCCATGTCATCACTTTTTTGTCATATTATCTTTTACGTGTATTAATATTTGACATGTCATCTTGTAACAGTGAACTAACAGGCCTTGTCATCAAAATTTGAATGGAAGGACCAAATTGGAGTAAAAATGGTAAACAATTGGGACCAAATTAGAGATTTTTTAAGTTTAAGGACCAGATCAAGGGACCGTACAATAGTTCAAGGACCAAAATGAGGTTTTAACCTAAAAAAAAGGGTAAAGGAAATAAGAAAAAGCTATAACAAACCAAAGGAGATCATGAAATTGGTGGAATTTGGAGAAAATTTGGTTGATCTAAAATGGAATTGAACCTAGTGCTTCCAATGTGGTGAACTCAATGCTTGTTGGGTTTGAATCGAGCCCAATACCGAAGTTCCATGAAACCTAGCACAAGGTTCCACAATGAACCTAGCACTGGGTTTTGATAAAGCTAGATTTGGGTTCAAACCTAGAAGAAATTGAAAAGAATGAAAGGAGGGGGCTGGTTTGAGAAAGAAGAGTGGAGAGAAATTGAAGATGATGAATGGACGATGGCTTGAAAGTTGAGAGGACAATGGAGAAAGAAAGGAAGGAGGAAAAGAAAGAATGAAGAGGTAGAGGAAGAAGAGATGAGGAGTAGTTTTGTAATTTTGAATTGAAATAAAAAGAATTAAAAGACGATAAATATAATTAATTTAAGTAAGATCCATCAATAATTTTTTAATAGTCATTTGACTTGGGTTTTTTATCCCCACATAAACTTGACATGTCATAAAAAAGTTAAACAAAAATGCCACATGGCTTTATTTAATGACTACATCACATTTAATTGACAAAAGGATCAAAATTGTGCATTCTTTTAAAGTTGAGGGAAAAAAAGTATATAAAAAAAGTTAAAGGACAAAACTATGCAGAATAATAAAGTTGAGGGATCAAAATTGATATTTAACACTTTTTTGTTCTCATTGAATTTCAATTTTTTTAAAAAAAATTCCTAATTGAGGATCTCAACTTTCTATTTTTTATTTAAAGACCTAAATTTACCAATTTTACCATATAAGACTTTGTTAGATGAAATGCTAACATGAGATTCCTAATTTTGTTAAAGTGGCTTACGTTAAGTGTTGTCTTGTCA